CATATAAGAGAGAAAGTGCATAAATTTATTCCAAGTCTGGCTTGTCAATTAACATGATCATTCTTTTTTCTTTAATGCTCACCTTAAATGCCTGGGACCAAATGAGTTGTTTTTAAGTAATTGAGCAAATTGCTGAACATAAAGATCTGAACTTTTAAAATATGGTGTTAATTAAAAATACAATATGGTTATATAAAATTCAATAATATCTAAGACTTTGTTTAGGGGAAAAAATAAGTATTTGCTATGTATATGTCCATCTTGTGTGCTTAAAGTAACCCTAGATATGAACAGGTATTATATGGCATGTGAAGCCAAATCTGACTCTCAAAGATTTTGAAGAAAAATAAAATAGTTAAAAAGACATACTTTAGGGGCTAGGGATTTAGCTCAGTGGCATAAGCGCCTGCCTTGCAAGCAGGCAGTCATGAGTTCGATCCCCGGTACCGTAAAAAAAATAAAAAATAAAAAAAACGACATACTTTAAGTTAGAACACCATAACATACCAAGTATGCACCAAATCTTGAGGCTTAATCCGTCTCCCTGGTTTTGCTTCAAGTCAGCTTACATTTTTTGCGGCTAATTCTACCCTTTTGAATTTGGCATCTACATGGACATTGTTTAGCAGTGGCATGGATTTTTCCCTGATTTTTTTTCCTAGTTCTGTTTACTTACCCCCAAATATTCATTTTATATAGCAGCAGTTATTTGAATACATTTAAGCTCCCAAGCAACAAGTTGCTAATATATCTTTTCACTTATTTTCTGGGGCCAGGGATATAGCTCAGTGGCAGAGTACCTGCCTGGCAAGTGCAAGGTTCTGATTTGATTCCCAGTACCAAAAAAAAAAAAGAAAGATTTGCTGGCTCATCAGAACATTCTATTTCAAGCTTTTTCTGTTTCCCTAGTTCTTATCTAGGTAGTTAGGCCCATGTGCTTATTAAACGAAATAGTTTTATGGGATTTTTTCTTTTGCTGCCATTTTGGATTTATGATAGGACTTAAATTTATTATCTTCACTGAGATGGAGCCAGTACTTAAAATTTTTTGTCTGTTTGACAGTTTGTGACTTGAAGCTTATTACTTACTCTGAACTTAAAGCCAGAATGCTAGGAAATCTTTTTACCAGCATTCTGGATGTCTTTGTTTTTGTTTTTTCCTTTCTTTTTCTTAATTTTTTTTTTAAAGAGAATAAAACCAAACAAAATAAAACAAACTAATCAAAACTGTGAAAGTGATATAGGACTTCAAAACAGGATAACAGCCTCTTGTTATGTTCAAAATTGCTGCCTATACCATCAGACATAATAAAACCAAGCAGAAGAGAATAAAACCAGTCAAAACAAAACACTGAATAAAATGGAACAAAACAAAACTGTGAGAACAATATTGGATTTCAAAAATAAAACAGGAGGAAATCCTCCATAGTTGCTATATTGCATACTATTATGCTCTAGATAGATGCTCAGACTACCGGCTTAAGGCCTACAAAGTCTCTCAAACAATATAAACATTGTTTTTGTACCTCAGTTGCTGTCAACTCAGTCTGTGTTCCTCTAAATCAGCCAGTAGCTTACGGGCAGAGTGCTCAGTTTTTGTCTGTGTCTGTCAGGCCACATGTTGCTGGCTCATGGGAAGGGCGCTTCCCTGTATCTCCAAGCCCATAGTTTCCACTAGTTCACAGGAAAGGCACTTCCTATTTTTCCGCCTGCCCCAGTTCTTTTGTTGTTTTTTGAGACAAGGGTCTCATTATGTAGTCCAGACTGGCTTAAAAACTCACATCTATCTTTTTGCCTCAGCTTCCCAAAAGTAGGGATTACAGACTTGGATGTATTCTAAGAGGAAAGTCTAGATTAAGAATTAAGGAATGGTTTCTTCTAAATTGCTGAACAAAAAAGTTGTAAATTAAACAGAAATAGTTGATAACTAGGAAATACATGGGAGCTGTTATTTGGTTTCTTCTAGTATGTTAAATTTTATGCTTCAATTTGTCATTATTGCATAATAAATGATTAAAATAAAATGATGATGCCTGTTAAGCAAAGAATTATTAAGACACATATTAAAATCATAAGGAAGACTATTCAAATCTGTTGCCAGAAATGAGAGGTTAGGCTCACATACTGATATAGAAATGATAGCCACAAATTTATAGCCAATGAGCAGGGAATGGGTATCAGTGGGTAAAAAAAAATAATTAAGCAATGTCAAGTATAAGGGGATTCTTGCTGAAGGCAGGCCAAAGACTTACGATGAATTTGATCAGATAACAAAGTTGAGCAAATTCTTACTAAACCTGGGCTAAGTGGGTCAAAGGTGAGCATTAGGGAGAAAGACCAAGGCTTAGTTGAGAAAATGGCATAGAGAAACCCAACTAAAGTTTGGTAAAGAGACAGTCTTTGTCACTGTATTTATGTATTATGTAATTAATTTAACAAATCTTTAATGTTTAAGACATACCAAAAGGCAAGAGCTGGCTGGCTGGCCTGCCTGCCTGCCTCTCTTCCTTCTTTCTTACCTTCCTTCCTTCATTTTCAGTGCCAGCATGAACTACATAACAAGACTACCACACAAAAAAATTTTTTTTTCATTTAGTTTTGACCCTTTTTTGAAACTAGATATACAGTTTTGACTTTCAAGCTTATTATTTCTCTTTTAAGCAAGCCCTCCCAACTTTGGTAATTTCAGCTTTCCCAAGCACAGCTTTGACTCAACTACTAGTTCAAAAAGGTGGAGAAGGGGCTGGCATCCTGGAACAGGCCTGTAATCCAAGCACTCAGGAGAATTGTTGGTAGTTTGCTACATAGGGAGTTTGAGGCCAGCCTGAACTACATGATGAGAACCTGTCTCAAAAGAAAAAAAAAACCCTAAAACTTAGCCATGCATCGTGGTATAAGCCTGTAACCCCAGACCTTGGGAGGCTAAGGCATGAGGATTGCTGAGAATTTTAGGCCAGCCTGGGCTACATAGCAAGACCTTGTCTCAAAAACAAACTCCCAAAAAATAAAGTAAAATTTAAAAAAATTAAATGGACAGAGCCAATCCCTGTGACACAATATAAAAATAATCCTCTGAAATTTTACTTTCTGTTAACACATGATATATTTGAATGTATAAATTTTAATAGACTAAGAATCAAAAGAGAAACAAGTTTTGCAAATAATCAAATAGTACTCATTTACATTCCTATAGAACGTGTGCCAAGTCTTTGCCTTGGATACATATGGCAGTGAACAAGTCTAACAAGTTCTTTCTGTGCAAGGAGTTGGAAAACGATGACCTGTGGGCCAAATTCAGTCCATCTGCTTTCATAGAACCTGTGTGCTAATGTTTTTTTGAATGGTTGAAAACAGTGTCAGAGGTGAACATAGTGGCACATGCCTGTAACTCTAGCACTCTAGGAGGATGGGGCAGGAAGGTTACAAGTTAAAGCCGAGCCTGAGCCCTTTTTCTACTTAGTAAGACCCTGTCTCAAAGTTTAAAAAATGGCAGGGAACATGGAGCTCAGTGCAAAGGCATTTTATTCAATCTATAGTACTGTGCCTCCTCTCCAAAAGAAGTACCATTAAAAAAAAAAGAATAGCCTTTCATGATGTGAAAATTACATGAAGTACAAATTTATTTTCCAAAACACTTTTTTGTTGTTGCTGTTATTTCTTTTTATTGAAACACGATCTCCCTACATAGTTTAGGCTGGACTTGGAACTCGCTGTATAACCCAAGTTGTCCTCAAATTTGTGGTGATCTTCCTGTGCTGGGATTACAGGGGTGCACCACCATGTCTGGCCACCTATTCTCATTAAAATATTTTAAAATATATGTAGATATTGCCAAGTAACTCTTTTGGAAGAAGTTACCAGTTTAAAGAACAGGAAGGAAGAGAACAGTCTTAGAGTAGATTAATTGGGGAATTGCTGTCTCACTAAGAGGATCACCTGACTATATCTTTTCCCATTTGGACCATCTTACATACAGAAACAGTATTCTCAGAATTTGGCACTCAGAATGACCCCTGAGTCAAATAGTCCATGCTCTAAATAGCCTGTGGCACTTAGGCTTACATACCCTGATCAGGTAGACTTGCTGCCTCCCCTCGAATGACTAGAGACAAGCCATAAGTAAATTGAAAGGGCAAGCCAAGAGATGCATCAATGTGTGTTAATGTCCTCATCAAGATTAGTGTGGGCACACAGAAGAGAAATTACCAGAAACTTTGAAAATTAAAATTAGAACAGTCAAAAAAATTACCTACAATAAAATGAGATACACAGATTAGACTCTAACTTTAATATCTATTTATTATAATAGTAAGTGATTCAGAAAAGAATGGTTGTAAGGGAACAAAAGAGGGGGGTTAGGATAAATAACTAAAAAAAATTTTTTTCATAGCATTTTTAAGACATTATAGTGTAGTGTTGAATAATAGAGATAATAGGTCCCATCTATGTCCTGCCTTTAAGAATAGTGACAGTGCTTATGTTTTCTCATTATGAAGGTTGCCATCAAATTTTGACCACTTTTAAGTCAAAATTTATCCTGCTTCTACTAAAAGCTAGAGTTTTGTTCCTTTATGATATTGGTGTGTGTGTGTGTGTGTGTGTGTGTGTGTGTGTGTGTCAGGAATTGAACTCAGGACTTTGCAGTTGTCAGGAAGATGCTCTGCTGTTGAGCTGTATCCTTGGCCCATGAGATTGGGATGAATGTTGAATTTTACATGCATTGAGGTGATCACATCCTTCGCTCCTTTAATTTGTAAATAACATCACTTTGTTAATGTTAAATCATCCTTGCATTGGGATAAACACTATGTTGTAATTTTATTTATTCCATTTGCTAATATTTAATTTTGGTGTTTGTGACAAGATCTCACTATAGTTAGACTATATTTACATTGATTGGAGAGCTTTGGAGTATATTCAAGACACAAAATTTTATAATCCATTAATTCCTTCTGTGTTACTCTTCAAAGTACACTTACTAATATTTTATTCTTCTTTAGGTACGCATAGCTGCTAAATTCATCACTCATGCACCCCCAGGGGAGTTTAATGAAGTGTTCAATGGTGAGTAAAGATTAGTATTCAGTTATTTTAAGTCCTACTTAATTATTGTCTTCAGCAAGTGTTTGCTTATAACTAAGGAAATCAACATTCAAAAAGACTGAAAAAATTTGTCCAGGTTTACCTAGCTAGTTAAGCATCAAAGTTAGGATTCAATTCCAGGTTTGAAAAAGCAAGCTCTCTCCCCATAAATTAGGGTATCTATGTTAGGTAAGAAAAAAAAGATTTAAGGTAGTTTATTTTTTATTTTGTTTTGTTTTGGGTTTTTTTGGTATCGGGGATCAAACTCAGAACCTCACACTTGCCAGGCAGGAGCTAGTGCTGCTGAGCTAAATCCCAATCCCAAAACTACCTTAAGGTAGTTTAATACTAAAAATGTAGAAATACTATTGAATTGACTTATAGTTTTATTTTGGAAAACTTTTTTTAAAAATGAGATTGAGTCTCATTATATTGCCCAATATAGTCTTTTAATTCCTGGGCTCAAGTGATCCTATAGCATCTATCTCCCAAGTAACTAGGATTACACAGGTGTACCATTGTACCTGACTTTCAGTTTTATCATTATAAGTAGCAGTTTAAACCAGGCTTGGTGGCACATGTCTGTGATCTCAGCCCTTAGAAGACTGAGGCAGGAGGTTAACAAGTTCAGTTCCAGCCTAGGCAATTTAGTGACTTCACAACAGCCGGCCTCAAAATAAAAAAATTTAAGTCTAAGGACATACTGTTAAAGCCCTGGGTCCAATCCCCAGTACTGTACAGTAGTACTTCAGTGCTTTCACTCAAGAAGTTCCTTAGTATATGACAGGTTAGGGGCTAGAGATTTAGCTCAGCAGCGTAAGCACCTGTCTTGCAAGCAAGGCGGTTGTGAGTTCGATCCCCAGTACCGATAAAAATGAAAAAGACAAAAAAAAAAAAAGAAAAAAAAAAAGTATATGACAGGTTTGGGGCTAGTAGGTCCGAACTGTTTGGGGAAGCTTATGTTTATTAGATCTGGGGTGGAATTGTTTTTTTGTTAGTGAATGTATATGTGTGAGGCCCTACTCTGTACTTTTGAACCCAGGGCCTTCGAACTAACCTGAATCCCAAACACTTCTTTTGAAACAGGGTCTTGTTAAGTTGCCCAGGCTAGGCTTGAACTTGCAGTATTCCTACATGAGCCACTCAGAGTGCTAGGATTATAAGTGTGTGCCAAAATGTCCAGCTTGATGTGGAAGAAAATTGGATAGTCTTTATTTTATGAAATTCCTTATGAGTAGTTCTAAATCAGCCAATTTTCAAACCACTGTCTAGTATATTTCCAATCTCTCATGGTATACACAGCTGGACATAGTGGCGCACACCTTTAATCACAACTATTCTGGAAGCTAAGGCAAAAGGCTCATGAGGCAGCCTTGAGCACCTTAGCAAGACCCTATGTCAAAAAGGGGACAGGGTTGTAGCTCAGTAGTAGAGTGCCCTAGGTTTAATCCCTAGTACTGCAGAAAAAACAAAACCAAAAGAAGTAAAACGAAATATTGTTCACTGTCTTAACACAATTTACAAGATAAGAAAAAGTTCTCTGTAAGTCATCTTTACACATGTTGATTCATTTTAGCAAACATTTATTTTGAAATTCTTGTTTTATATTGGAACGTGAGCTACTTGAGAGAAACTGTGATATTGATCTATAACTCTCAAAACTCCAGACATGGTGTAATATTATATTCAGTAATTCCATTGGTAAAATTAATTACACAGAGAAAAACTAGAGGAAACATAAACATTGACCATAAAAAATATAGAATATAATAGAAGTAAATCTTTATAAAGATCATTTCTAGATTTTGAGTTCTGACAGAAGGGAGACAAGGGTAGCTTTTTTCTCCCTGGTCTTCCTCCCTCAAATGTAAAATTTCAACAACTTAGCTTTTACAAAGTTCTCCTTAAATTTGATTTTCAGCTCAGATAATTTAGGACTTAACAAAATTAATGTTTTGTAGTTAAAATTCCTTTGTTTTACTTTAGACAATTTACTTTACAGGAATATCATGAAAATCACTATAATCAAAGCATTAAGATTAGGAATTAATGAGCTATTTCTGTCATGAGGCCTCGGCTTTTTTATTCACACGTATTGGCCACCACCAGACCCTTCTTTCAGAAGCTTTCAAAATTAGTAGCCTTTGGCTTAGAGTTAGCTTTCCCTCTTGAAATAAATGCTTGGTGTTTTCTTAGTATCAGAAAAAAAAATGACTAGACTGTTTGACACAGTTTTTTGAAAAGTTGTATATCCCTATACAGTAATTAGATTGTTTTTTGTTTGCTTGTTTGTTTTGGTGCTCACAATCTTGCGCAGTTAGACTGCTGAGCTAAACCTCTGGTTCTGGTAATTAGATTCTTCAAAGGAAAATATATCAAGATTTTAGGTCAGTGACAAAATTTTGCCCAGCTTTCTAGAGCTGGTATTACAGAAAGGCCTGTAATTCTTAACCCAGGCTGGGGAAGGAGGTACTGTGGATTGAATCTAAGGCCTTGTGCATGCTAGGAAAGTGCTTTACCACTGAGTTACATCAGCCTATGTAGTCTTAATTTTAAATGATTCATTAAATAACACTCCTGCTAGAGACTGTAGCTCAATGATAAAAATGCTCCCCTAGCATGTATGAGACCATGGGTTCCATCTCAAGAACCATAACAATATAAATAATTTAATTATTAATTTAACTTGAACCTTCTCCAAATAGTATTTTTCTTTTGCTATGAAATTTCTTGGAAATCTATTGTTGATTTTCTATAGCACTAATAATTGTCTAGAGAGCTATGAACATTAACATCTATTCACTGACATTTATAAAATTTCTGCACATATAGTATATCTGAAGGCTAACCTCCCAAAAGTCTAGATTTTAAAAACCTGTTATAGCTGAACATGGTGGCACATGCTTGTTATCTCAGTACATAAGGGGATGAGAAAGGAGGATTGTGAATTCTGGGAACCTAGGATACGTAGTGAGCACAAGGCCATCCTGCACATCATAGCCAGACCCAGTCTCAAAATCCCTCCCCAAAAAATGTCTTTTCTAGAAATGTACTAAAATTTCTCAGACTTATCCAGTATCCAACATTTCAACATGTTTTCCTTCTCAGATGTCCGGCTACTACTTAACAATGACAATCTCCTCAGGGAAGGGGCAGCTCAGTAAGTATCTTTTCTAAATCCACTTACAACATTATTCTAACATTGGATAAACTGTAGTGATGGTGAACTAGCACCCTGAAAACTAAGTTCAAAATACTTAATGTTAGCTGGGTATGGTGGTGCATGCCTGTAATCTCAGCACTCGGGAGACTAAGACAGGAGGATTGCCCAAATTCTAGGCCAGCCTTAGTTACAAAGTGAGTTCAAGGCCAGCCTGAACTACATAGTGAAACCCTGTCTCAAAGACAAAAAAAAAACTTAATGCTATTCATCCTGTTTTTATTTTCTTGTCTATTTCTTAGAGAAAACACGTTTTCCTAATACAATCTTATTTTGCCCATATTTTCCTTATTAAAGCAGAATTTAATGTTAGCTATTGGGTTTTCTTTTGTTACTCTTTTAGTTCAATGTTGAATTTTTTTTAAACTGCTGGTTATAGAAAGATTTAAGCTGCTAATAAGGATTGATTGTTCCTGAAATTATCAAAAATAGCAAATATCTATGAAGTACTTTAATAGAATTAACCATAGATAAAACCATGATTATCTAATCATTGAGTCATCACTGTCAAGCTAACCATCTTTCTAAAATAACATCTTTATTTTGCCCTTGACCTCAAAAACATCGATGGGGATTTTGGGGAGGTTTTTGTTTTTGTTTTTGTTTTTTTTTGTCTTCCATCTGAAATCAAATGTAAATGCTATTTAATTTTCAAAGTCCCTGTTGTCTGACCTTATCACTATTCTACTGTTCAACACAAAGCTCCATGTGAGTTACTGTCTACCTTACCCAGCCAGGGTTCCATTGTAAAGAAGACACCGAAATTGGATAGTAGGTAGGCAAAGGTAGAAAGGGGAGGACAATGACATTTTGATGCAGTAACAAATAATTATCATAAAGTTCATTTTGGTATGATGTGTAACTTGTTTAGATTTTGGCTGTGGAAAACTATCAAAAACTGCTGCCTAGTAGACAACTATGTCCTGCTGTGTGCATGGAATTTGTTTTAGTATTGGAATCTGTAAACTAGACTTTACACATCATCACTATAATTGTCATCATGAATAAAAACCCTAGTTTTACATTTGTATAAGAAAGTAAGGCATATATTAGACATAAAACTCTTAATACTGATTTTTCTCTTAGATGCATAAAATTTGCCATGGAAAGGATAATCATGAGGCAGGTTGCAGCAGTTCATGCCTATAATCTCAGCTACTTGAGAAACTGAGGGAGAAGAATTGAATTCCAGGCCTGCCTGAGCAACATAGTGAGACCTGTCTCAAAAACAAAAAGAAAAGAGCATTCGTGATTTGCTAGATCAATCCTTTCCACTTTCACTGAACCTCATCTATGTTAACAGATAATTATTCAATCTGAATCCTTCTGGCAGTAAAGAATTCATTTTGCATAGCAAGTTCTTCACTTTCCCTGACTTATTGGTTCTAGTTTTATCCTTGTGAGCTATCCAAAATAAACTTACTTTATTAATTCTCTTGACATAGTATAGCTAAAGTACATTGGTAGTGGAATGCCAGTCATGTATTTAGAACTTAAGCTTGTAGTCCTATTTCTAAGTCTGAGTGCAAGTTGGAATATAATTCAGACACTTTTGTTGCACTGACACTAAAGTTTTATATGTATAAATATTTTGTTCTATAGACTCTAAATTTTTGGAAAATCTTACTAAAGAAAAATTTTCATGAACCTAAAAACTTGATTTTTCTATAAGGGTTCAGCTATAATGAAATGCTTCAATATCTCCACCATAGTCTTCATAGTTAGTGCACAATAAATGTTGTTTTAGTAATCATCAGTATTGTCTTCTATATGAAATAAGTGGCCTAATAGATCTAGGACCATCCTGAATTTCCACTTTTGTGTTTCTACCAGATTTGCCATTTGTGGTAATTCTCAGCACTTCTGATATAAATAGATGTTGGGCATGTTGAAGAGTGAATTTTATTCTGAGTGAGATAGGATAGTACAAATAAAAGAGTATGAGACTTTGGGCCAGGGATTTAGCTGAATGGCTTAGCGCCTGCCTGGCAATTGTGAGGTCGTGAGTTCAATCTCTGGTACCAAAAAAGAATATGAGACTTAAATTTTAGAATAGCCAATAGTTATGATTATTCTAATCACTATGTGGAGTACTGATGCTGAAAATGAATAGACTAGTAATGTAGTTCTAAGGTAGTTGGTAGTGATTTGGACTAGAGTAGAAATGGAGCAAAGTCACATCCTGAATATATACTCGTATAAAGCCTACAAGATTTACTGATAATATCTAAAGTATACCAATAAAATCTTGTTTTAAAAAAAAACTTACTGATAGCAATCGGTGTGGTGGAGCATACCTGTAATCCCAGTACTTGGGAAGCTGAAGCAGAAGGATCACTCCAAGTTTAAGGCCAGCCTGGGCTACTTAGTGATTTCAAAATCAACCCAACATAATGAGATGGTCTCAAAACAAAACAAAAAAAATTTCCAATAGGAGCCAGACATAGTGACCCCAGCCTGTAATTCTAGCACTCTGGGTGGCTGAAGCAGGGGAATCATACATTCCCCTGCCCAGTTGGCCAATTTAAAGAGACTTGCCTCAGAATAAAAGAGAAGAAGAAGAAGGAAAAAAAAAAGGCGAGGATATATTTCTGTGAAGTTAAATGTTTAGTACAGGATGTGTGTGGGGGGGGCGCTAACTGATAAATTAGATGTGAAAGATGAAAGAAAAGGTCCAGGATGACTCAGGTGCATGCTAAAATTTTTTTTTTTTTTTTGGTTAGACTTTCCCAGGTTCTCACTAAGACTGACCCAGTTTATAACTTGGTCTGTTGAGGTTACTATTAAAAATAGCAACATACTGGGCAGTATAAATAATTACATTTATTCCTCATAGTTCTGGAAGCCAGAATTCCAGTCAACTAGGTAGCAAGAACTGTGTTCTGGTGAGGGCTTTTCCTAGATTCCAGCAGCCTTTCTTAAAAATGTCACTTGCTTGTTTTCCTGTACTAGCAGTCAGAATGGGTCCATTGGAAGCTGGTACAGATGAGAATAAAGATCAGCCTAGCTGTTCAGACACAATTTGGACTCCAATCCAGTAGGATACACCTCAAGGAAACTGCTGATGTGCTGGTCTGGTTACCCACTGAGAAGACGATGACTTTTATCTTCTGGTGTGAGCCTTGAGCTTAGAGCTCCCAGTCTATCCCACCTATTAGCCATACTTGGATACCATCTCCATCTCTGAGAAGCAGAAAGGATGTACATATGCAGACTTTTAAAAAAGTGAGGATTCTGGAAGAGGAAATAAAAGCAGGGAGGCAACCCTAGGTCTCAAATAGACGTAGCCATATATGTAGCTCACAAGAAATGTGGTAAACCCTTGGGCCTCTGTCATCCTCATTGCTCATACTTGGTTACAGCCTGTTTGTCCCAGAAACTGCAGTGCTCCAATCTGGGACAGGTGGGGCATCTGACACACACACAGCCTGGGGTCACTGCCTGCAGTTACTGTGCCATGTGGCCACCTGATGCTGGAGGCATTCAGCATCAGGCAATGACAGTATCTTCCTGTGCTCAGCCCCAGGAAGCTTGAGGGGCTGGTAATGGTCCTCTCTAGAAACATAACCAGTCTTCAGGGAGCAGGTGGCAAGGAACGTTGAGGATATTTGGCAAGATTAAGACAGGATTTGGAAAGGCCTAGGATGACTCAAGTTTTTGGCTTGAGCAGCTGGTAAAATAGAGAAACTATTTACTTCTATTATTTTTTTAAACAGTGCATTTGCCCAGTATAACATGGATCAGTTCACACCTGTGAAGATAGAAGGATATGAAGATCAGGTAATAATTGCCTGTTAGATAACCTATGTTTGGCAGATAATAGAGATCTAGAAACCAAAGCAGATTTGTGAATCAGATGCTGAATATAAATTCATGTCTTAGTTTTCATATTTTGGTGAATATTCTACATGTTAGGAAATTATTCTTTCTGATAATACTAGTAACTTTCTGACAAAAAGGAAGTCTGCCTATCACAAGAAAAGTTCAAAAAAAAAGTCTTAGAAGTTTTCTAGCTATCTCTAATTTTGCTTGCTAGCAGGAAGTATTACAGTTAATGAGAAAACAAAGGTACTCCTACAAAAATTTAGGCTACTTAGGTTATTTTAAGAGTTTGCTCATTAAACCAGGCAGATGGTACACACCTGTAATTCCAGCACTTGGAAGTGAAGGCAGGAAGATCAAAGGTTTGAGGCCAGCCTGGGACAAATAGTGAGACTATGACTCAGTTAAATAAAACCAAGAAGAATTTGCTGCTTGGAAGTAGGGATAGCAAGGAGATTTCACTTCACTAGTTTTTGTACTAGGGATCAAATAAATCCAGGGCCTTGCTCTAGCCAGCCAAGCGCTCTACTACTGTGCTATACCCACAGCCCTATTTTTTCATTTTTGAACTACATAGCTGTATTAGCTATTTTAAATGGTCAATATAATGACATAGAAAAGTTTCATGAAATAATTTGAAAAAATGTAAAAATATACGTAAAAGTTGTTACTAGAGGTATACGTAAAGTATATATCCATACATATTAAACATCAAAACAATGAAGGGTATGATTAGGAGGAGAAATTTGCAGTATAAAGTTGACTTTTTTTATGTTATTGGTTCTTTATTTTTATGAATTTATTTATTTTGGTGTTTGTGTTACATTCAGTGCCTTTGCACTGAGCTGCTTCCCCAGCCTTTTTGATTGGGAGTCAAAGTCTCTCTAAGTTGTTCAGGCTGGGCTCAGATTTTCCTTCTAGAGCTGAGATAACAGGCATGCACCACCATGCCCAGTTAACTGACTAATATTGAGTGTTTTTAAAAATTTTTATTACTATGTGTTTACAGTACATTCTCATGCAAAGTTTATACATGTACTGAGCACATCACAGTACTTTTTTACTTTTGAGAGAGTCTTGCTATGTTGCCTAGGCTGGTCTCAAATTCATGGGCTCAGGAGACCCTTATGAGCTAGGTGTGGTGGCATATGCCTGTAACCACAGTATACTGGGAAGCTGAGGCAAGAGGATCATAAACAAGTCAAGCCCAGCCTGGGCGACTTAGTGAGACCCAAAATGAAAAAAACTTAAAAATTACAAGAATTTTTAAAACACTGTGGATAGCTCAATGCAAGGGTTCTGGGTTTAATCCCCAGTATCATCGCTAGCCCCAAAAAGTATCCTTCTGCCTCACCTTCCCAAGTAGCTGGGACTATAGGCATGCATCTCATCTAACAGTATTTTTTATAAAAATAAAAATTAAGACTTGATTGGAAAATCAGTATGAAAGAAAATTTTGACTAAATGAAATATTAAATATATAGAGTTTAGTTTCTCTTTGTTGCTTGTACTGGAAAATGTGATTAAGAACTGGCTTTTTCTAGTTATTCATATTTATAATTCTTCTCTGAAAGGTTTTAATTACAGAGCATGGTGATCTGGGTAATAGCAGATTTTTAGATCCAAGAAACAAAATTTCCTTTAAGTTTGATCACTTACGGAAAGAAGCGAGTGACCCTCATCCAGAGGAAATAGATGGAAGTTTGAAGTCTTGGAGAGAGTCCTGTGACAGTGCTTTAAGAGCCTATGTGAAAGATCATTATTCCAACGGCTTCTGTACTGTTAAGTATCTGTCTGCTTCATTATCAGAGAATGTTTTATTTCTTACATTTACCTTATCCCATGGAGGCTTTGGTCTACCAAACTTCACCTCTTTTTGTTTATGGTATTCTGTGCATTTTATTCCCAAAATCATTTTTAGAATGTAAATATTTGGAAAATTCCTTTTTAACCCCAATGTATAATAATTTTAAATCTCAAGTTATTCTATTTCACATTTCTCTTACTTACACATGATAAATTGCCTTTATCCATCAAAAAAAAGTTTTTAAGGGTCTTTAATTTAAGCTAGGTGTGGTGGCACATACCTATGATTGCAGGCTTCCTGGAAACTGAGGCAGGAGGATGGAAAGCTCAAGGCAGCCTGGGCAATTTACTGATTTATTAAGAGTTGAAGTCTGAGGATATAGCCCAGTATGAAGTCCCTGGGCCCCAAGTAAAAGAAAATAAAGAGTTCTTAACTTAGACATAGGAAAAAATGGGGAAAAAAATACATATATATATATGTATATGTATATATATGAATGATACTGGGAAAACTCTAACTCCATGTTTGACTTTTTGGTATTATAGGTATTTTTATATGAAAGTACTTTTATATTGTTTAGTTATTTTTCATGAGATACTCCAAGTATTTGAACTAAATATTTTTATAAATTCCAGAGTAACTTTTGTATATTACCTCTGGGGCTTTAAAAATGATAAATTTGGTTCTGGTTCTATCATGTTTTCTCCTTAATAAAATTATGGAATATTACTAAAAAAAATAGTAGTTAAAATTTTATTGTCTTAGGGTTTTTTGATTTTGTTTTTGTTTTTTTGAGGCAGGGCCTTGCTATGTAGTCCAGCCAGGCCTTGAATTGTTACCCTGTCTCAGAAAACCAAAACGAACAAAGAAAATGATGGAATTGCTCTGATGGTATCTACCGGGCACTAGATCATATATCCTCAACTGTCCTGCTGAATAGACCATAACATCATCTTATTATTCCCTATCACATTTTTCATGCAATGTCCTCCAGACATTTCCTATTGTTCTCAGGTGGACATCTAATCCCCCCAAGTTTTATTAAGATTGAGGCTATCATGAGGTATTTTTATTTGTCTTCTCTCCACACTCAGATATCCTCCCTGTCTTCTGTTGTACTTGAGTCTGGGGAAGAATGTCCTTATTCTTGATTTCGTACTATCCTATGTACTTCATATATCTTCATGTAACTTCATTTTCTCTTCCAATATATTTTTCATTATATAGAAAAAAGTCTTATATCTACTTTTCTAAAGGGAGCTATCTGTTAATTATAATAACTCTTGTAAGTTATGTATTTTCTTTCTTCGTCTCCTTTTTCTACCTTACTGTTTTCTCTTCTGTTTTCTCCCTTCTCTAGACTTCTCTCCTGTTTCCCTTTACCACCATACCAACCAATCAGTATTCTTTCTATACTGCTGTCATTGCCACATTAGCTATCAACTTCTAAACCTTTATTTACTCTGTCTTCATTTTATAAAGCATTGATAGCAAACCTTTGACAGCTTTCAGTGGTACATACAGCCTGCTGCAGAACACCTGCCGTAGGTTTTCTATCACTGCTATACAGACTGGTCTATGATAAGAGTACTAATGATTTCTAAATGCATGATCCATTATCCTTTTCTTGGTCCTTAACTTTGTGTGCCATTTCACCCTGAGCCAAACTGACTACTTTTGGAAATGATCTTTTGCTTTGGTTGTTATATCAACATCTTCTAATCTTTCCTACTCTGTCTGTAGTCATTTCTTTTCTGCTACCTTTATAAATTTAAAAATTCCTCAAAGTATTTCTCTTTCTTGAAAACCTATCAGCCATTCAACATAGAGTAACACAGACTGTGTCAAAACCAATGGTTTTAGATTTTACCTTCACGATGTATTTTGTGAGTAACCTTAGGAAAGAACTGTGAATTTCAACTTTATCTATGGTAACAATTTTTTTACCAGATTGATTAAAGCAAAAGGAAAATACATAAAATACATTTTATAGGGAAAATACATGTAAAAAAAACTTACTTTGTAGACTATAAAGCACAATTTGTTTCCTTTTCCTTGGCAATCATTTTTATTGTCTTGTTCTGCAGAAATGTTGATGTTTCTGACTACTAGGTAGACATCTAGTTTTCCCAATTTGTTAATGACACCACCATCTTTCCAGTTGTCCAAGTGTGCTAATACTTTGGCTTCTTTCATTTGCAGTATATTGCTAGAATTTGATTGTACTTTTATATTTTGTATGTGTTCTCTCCTTTCTGTTTCCACTGATCCCACCTAGATCATTTCCTAGAAGATTAATTCCGTGACTCCTAACCAACCTCCAGCTTTACCTGCATTATCTTGTACATCAGTATTGATTTTTCTTACAGAATAATAGTTTTGGTCATGTTATTTTGCTGTTTTTCTATTACCTCATGGCCTGAACCCTCTGTCCTGTTTTTTGTCTCCCCTATTCCATGACATATACATAACCCTCTGACCTAAGCGAACTAATTACTGTTTGCCTAACAAGTTCTTGGTTTCCTGCCTGAGGTATTGCCTCATCTTTTTCATTCTGTGCTTACTAGAATCTTATGTTTTCTTTTCTTTTCTTTTTTTTTTTTTTTTTTTTTTTTAATATTGTCTTTTTCCTATTTTTCGGTACCAGGGATCGAACTCACAACTGCCTGCTTTCAAGGCAGGCGCTTATGCCGCTGAGCTAAACCCCCAGGCCCGGAATCTTATGTTTTCTAAGGCCCAATCTAAGCAGCACCTCACTTTTACTCTAAGCCAGAAGCAATATTTGCTTCTGTATTCATTGTACAAGTGCCTCTACCAGAACCTAACACATTCTCCTTTGTGTACAGATTTGAAGAAAACAATTTTTTCAGGTTTTTGTTTTGATCAGAGATTTAGCGTGCTGCTCTTGTATAGTGTGTGTCATTTAGATTAAATGTTTTTTGAGTCTAATTATTTTTTCCCAATAATAGGTATATGCTAAAACTATAGATGGGCAACAGACTATTATTGCATGTATTGAAAGCCACCAGTTCCAGCCTAAAAATTTCTGGTAAGAAATAGATATTTTGTTCTACTTGTATCTAATTTATGTTAGAAAGAAACCCGCAGTTGAGGCAGGATTTTTAATCTCCATTGGGGTAAATTATTTGATTACAGACTTCAGTTTTCCATCTATAAAGTGAGAAATTTAGACATTGTTAGACAAATTATAAGATTTTATAATTGTTTTTATTTATTTATTTATTTATTTTTGGTACTGGGGATCGAACACAAGACCTCATGCTTGCCAGGCAGGCACTTTCCAGCCTGTAATTGTATCTTTTTTTAAAAAAATTATTTTACTGAGTGAGAACAATTGATGAAATGCCCAGTTCAGATTTTGACTTTTACCTGAGTTAGTAATACTTGAGTTAATAATGTAACTCAACAGCCTAACCATCTATTGGATTTAGATGAGCTCCCACTGAACACAGTAGGCATGTTTCTGCTCCATGGGGAACAAAAACTAAATGGAAAAAGTCCAAGTAACTTAGAAACGGCTTATGGTTAGGCCACTTGAACTCAGTCTTAAATTTGAGTAGACAGAGCTTTGGGTTTGTCAACTTGTAAACATCCCTGCCACCTGCCCTTTTGCATTTCCTCTGCCTCAGTGGCACATCTCATTTTTGTGCTTGTTGCTAATTCTGCAGCATTATGTGTGTTTTAATAGGAATGGTCGTTGGAGGTCTGAATGGAAGTTCACCATCACACCACCTACAGCACAGGTGGTTGGAGTGCTCAAGATTCAGGTAAGATTCCAACATGTTGATGGATCATGGTTAAAACTCCACGTTTTTAAGTTAAGATGCAAGTTGGTCTATGTTTTCATATTATAAATAAGGACTAGGGCTGGAGAAGTAGCTCTGTGGCACAAACACCTGCCTATCAAACACCAGATCCCAAGTTGAATTCCTGGTAACCAAAAAAAAAAGGGGGGGGGACTAAACTATAAGCAGATAAAAAGGGAATCAAATGAGAAGAGAAGTAGAGAATAGAAGAGAACAGAACAGAATTCTTCTTCTAAAGGGCAGTACTTTAATAGTTATTCTGGGTTGGTGAAGGATAATCATATAGAATATACTGCTTATTTGTTATTTTTGTGTTTCAAAGATAAAACATACTTGTAGAAAATAATATAAGAAGTTAATTATAACTGGCCATGGTGACAACTCCTATACTGCCAGCACTGTAGGAATCTGGGACAGATTCTAGCCTACCCAAGACAAACTAACAACTAAGCAAGACCTTTTACAAGTTTTGGGCTGGGGATCTAGCTAAGTGAGAAAACCCTGTGTTCACTCCAAAGTACCCCCACACACACAAAAAAAAAGTTACTATATTCTAGTCACTGTAACTTTAGGATCTTTTATCATATAACTCTTTGTATTGTACTTTTTAAATTTTTATTAGTGTTTTTGCAGTACAAAATTATTAACTCATCATGGGAAGTGGGTACATGAGCATAACATTTCTTAGTTATTATTTCCCCTCTCTATTCTCTGCACCTTAACTCTTAGTTCTAAAGAAAGCTACATGAGTGGTTTTCTTGTTGTTGAGTGTTTTGTTTTTAGTTTTGGGTTTTTTGTTTGTTTGTTTTTTAACATTTTGGAATAAATGAAACAATTAAGTTAAACTAAAACAGTGGAACTAGAGAGGGTGGCCAGGTGTCTTATGTTATGGAATATAAACAGCCCAGCAAAGTATATTTCTAGTACTAGTATCAAGAGAGACAGGCATCTGAATTCAGTTAGTTGTTAACTCATTTGTTGCCTGAGTTGAAGTCTTCTAATATCCTAGAAGAGGATTGATTTTGTAAATTCAAGATGACTTAATTTTAAGTTCAGATTAAATAGTCATACTTAAGTGAAAAGATTAGTACCTAATTGTACTTACATTCTATTATATTGTCTTGCTTTAATAATAATTAGCAAAAATTGTCTATTTTCGTGGAATAGTTTAATAAAAAGTATACACTGAGCTGGGTATATGTGGTGGTACATGCATATAATCCTAGCTCTCAAGAACCTGAGGCAGGAAATTCGTAAATTTGAGGTAGGTTTGGACTACATAGTGAAACACAATCTAAAAAGAAAGTATACATGGTAGATATGGTCTGCATTTACTCTTTTCCTATACATCTATAGTATCTTGGCCACAAGAACATGCCCAACTCAATATTCTCAGCTCTGGAAGCAGCCTTCATGTCATTTTTGTTTTGTTTTTGTTCCCTGTTGGATAGTTCTGATAGTTGAACCCAGGACTTTATTATACTCTTCACTGAGCCATATCCACAGTCCCAAGAGTTAGTAGATAATTATTGCAGTTTTTCTGCCAATATAAAAATAAAGTAGCGCAAGGGGCTGGGGATTTAGCTCAGCGGCATAAGCACCTGCCTCATAAGCAGGTGGTTGTGAGTTCGATCCCTGGTACCGATAAAAAAATAAAAAAAATTTTAAAAAAGAAGAAAAATAAAGTAGCGCAAGGTCGTGAGTTTGATCCTTGGTGCAAAGATAAATAAAGTAGCATGTACATTATAAGTGTGATTATTTCTGTTAAGATATTTATAGCAGGACCTGGTATACAGACTTTCAAATATATTTTTTCCCATGTTACTGGAGATTGAATGCTGAAGTACTGTATGGCTGAACTATACCTCCAGCCCCTTTTCATTTTGAGACAAGGTCTCATGAAGTTGTCAGGCTGACCTCCAACCCGCAATCCTCCTGCATCAGCAGTCTGACATTTATACATTTAGAAGCATAAACTGGTAACACTTTGGAGGAAAGCTTACTTCATTTTCATAGTTTTAAAAAGCCAAAATGAGAATTATTTGGAAAAATCATTAAGGTATTTAACCTTTAGTACTGAATATAGGTAGCTACCTGCTATCACACCTCATCCAGAAACTGATATAGCCGAAAGCTTAGTTGTTTACTTAGTCTTTTTTAATGATGTTCCAAAAAAATAAATCCTTAATGAGATACATTCCTTTTTGTCTATATCAAAGTATTTTCTAACTTTTTGACAAATCACAACATTCAACAATATTTGCATCCTAGATAAAGTTTAAGCTCTGGAATTTGACTTAATTCAAATCCAGGTTCCTCCTGTTAGAAAGTATATGAACATGAAGAAGTCTACTTAGATCACTACAGTGTCTCATGGAGAAAAAAAAGTCTACTTAGATGACATCTCTTATGTTCAAGAACTTGTTCAGATACACTTTTTTTTTTTTTTTTTTTTAAATCAGTACCAGGGATCCAACTCACAACGGTGTGCTTGTAAGGCAAGCGCTTATGCTGCTGAGCTAATCCCCAGACCCTGTTCAGGGACACTTAAAGGAAGCCCTTCTCCTGTTTGTATGGCCAATTTGTAGCCATGTTGAGTTGACTGAGTCTATCATAAGTTGCCAAAACTTCCTGAGCCTCACACGTAATTGATTTTTTTTAAATTTTATTTAAGGAGAAAAAGAAAAAGGGTACAAGTTATACAGAATTTCAGAAAAAATAAACAGTAGGAAATCTCTAGTTAATAGATTACATATTGTCATCTTAGAAATAATTGTTCAGGTTACATAATTAAAGCATATAAAGTGGACATTCAAACAGTGAGACTGCAAACAGTTCTATTCAATGATTCAACAAAACTCAGCAATATGGTTATCTATCTTATACACTTAAACATACATGCAGTTATATCCTTTAGAGCACAATTTGCTACTCTTTTTTTTTTTTTTTTTTTTTACGTGCCTCTTCATAAGAATTGCTTTTCATTCAGGAGACTGAGGTAGGAGGATCACCATAAGTTCAAGGCCAGCCTGTGGTACCGAGTTCAAGACAAGCCTGAACTACATGGCAAGATCCTGTCTCAAAAAAATAAAGGGTGGGGGGGTGCTGGGGATTTAACTCAGCGGCATAAGCGCCTGCCTTGCAAGCAGGCAGTCGTGAGTTCGATCCCTGGTACCGATAAAAATGAAAAAGACAAAAGAAAAGAAAAGAAACAAAAAAATGAATTTTTGTAATTGTAGCACCTCACTGTTCCTTGTATTTTCAAAAATGGTTTATTTTGGAGTTGTTTTGTTTTTAGTCCTGTCTTTAATCTCCAAGTAAGCTTTTACCATACTTGGTCAGATTTACTTGGAATTAATTGATGATAGCTTATTTAGAAAGATATGTCAAGAGGTGAGCACAATGGCACATGCCTGTAATCCCTGTACTTTTGGGAGGCTGAAGCAGGAGGATTGAAAGTTAAAAGCTAGCCTAGAAAATTTAATGACTTTGTAGGATCCTGTCTCAGAATTTTAAAAAAGTCTAGGGATATAGCTTAGTATGAATGCCTTGGATTCAATCCTCAGTACTGAAAAAATAAATGAGAGAAAAAGATGTATCAGGTATCAGAATCCATTAAAACTTTTTGGTTTTCACAGACAAAAACTAGTTCAAATTTTCACTTTAATTTTTTTAATACTATTAGAAGTAGTATCTTGCTGGGCTGGCAGGTGCATGCCTCTAATCCCAGAACTCTGGAGGTTAAGGCAGAAGGATTGCCATAAATTCAAGCCCAGTGGGTTACATTGTAAGTTCAAGGCCAGCCTGAACTACATATAAGACCCTATTTATTTTAAAAAAAAAAAAAAACCGATATCTTAATTTATCTTTGGATTTACATCTCTAGCACAGTGCCTGGAATGTAATGAACATATAATAAGTGTTTATTAGATTTAGTAAGTAATCAATTTTCCTTGCTAAGGAAAGAGTTTTTGTTTGTTTTTAAATTTTGAAACAATGTCTGAGTCTCTAAATTGCTTAGGCTGGGCTCAAACTTGGGGTCCTCCTGTCCTACACTCCTAGAGTGCTGGGATTGTAGGCATGTGCTACTACACTCAGGTAAGAGAGAATTCTTAAATTTTGGTATTCTATAAATTTTATGTATGTATGAATAAATGATAGATCTCATTATGTAGCCCAGGTTGGTCTTGAACTCGTGAGTCTTCTACTCAACTTCAAGTGCTGGGATTACAGGCATGTACTACCATAATTGGCAATTAAAATTCTTTGTTTCAATTAATACCATTGTAAGTTGTCATTGATTATATGACTTATTTGTACTGGGAATCGAACTTCGGACCTTGTACTTAGCAGGCAAGTGCTTGTACCATGAAGCTGTATATCCAGCACTCACAGTTGGTGAAGATGGCTTACCAATTTAAGAATAGCCTAAGGATGGATTTGGGCCCTAAGCAATAGGTTTCTATATGAACTACATATGAACTTAACTGTTGTCTCATACAGGTTCACTATTATGAAGATGGCAATGTTCAATTGGTTAGTCATAAAGATGTGCAAGATTCAGTAAATGTTTCGGTGAGTAAGCCATATTTAAGGTCTGTCTCAATCATTCCTTTTTTTTTCTTAAGAATACTAGTTTTGCTCCTAAGTGCTGATGCTTTGATTTTAGTACTTATATTCGTGCCTTTTAATACTTGCTACTGTACTGTTAGGCCTACAATGCTTGACCCAAAATAGTGACTGGATTGAGAGAAACTTCTTTTTCTTACATTCTCTTTTTCAATTTTAATATTTGCTCAATGGCAATAATACCTTCCTTCCTTCAATAAATGTCTGGGAAACACTGTCAAACTAAATGCTTTTAGACTGCATTGATATCACAAGAGAAACATTTTTGTAGTATTCAAGCAGAAAGTGTTATGTTCTATGTCTTGAAGTAACAGAATTTGTGTTACTTTTGTTTTGTTTTGCTTTTTGGGTCAGGGTCACACTAAGGGTCAAGCTGGGCTGGGCTGAAATTTACAGGACTTCTTCCTCAATCTCATAGTGCTAGGGTTACACACAATTTATTTTTTTAATTTTTTTTTGTGTATGTGCAGTACAGGAGATTGAATGCAGGGCAGTCACAACTAAGCTACATCCCAACCCTTTTTTTGTTTGTGTTTGGTTTATTTTTTTATAGACAGGGTCTCAAGTGGCTAAGTTGCCCAGGCTAGGTTTGAACTTGTGATCCTCCTATCTCAACCTTCCAGAGCGCTGAGATTATAGGTCTGTGTCACCATGCCCATCTTTGAATTCTTTTGTAGTCTCATTTCTTCCCTTTCTCTTTCTTTCTTCCTCCCTCCCTCCCCTTTTCTCTCTTCCTCCTCTTCCTCTTTTGCGGTAGTGGGGTTTGAATCATTAAGGGGCACACTACCACAGAGCTACATCCTTCACCCTTTTTATTTTGAGACAGGATCTTTCTCATTTGCCAGAGCGGGCCTTGAACTTGCCACTGACCTGCATAGGCCTCCCAAGTAGCCGCAGGCATGTGCTACTATGCCAGTTCATTATCTGTTTATATTCTTAGAAGTTATTGAGTATCCCCAAGAACTTTTGTTTATGTGTACTATATTTTACAATATTTACTAAAAATTTAGACAAGTATTTATTTTTTATTTATAGCAAAATATTTGTTAATTTAAAATGAACTAAAACCCAGACTACTCAGAAGGCTGTGGTAGGTGTATCACAAGTTTGAGGACAGCCTGTCCATCGCAGCAAGCTAGGATCTCAAATATAAAGGGCTGGGGTGTAGCTCAGTACAAGACTCTGGTTCCATCCTCAGTACTGCAAGCAAGGAGCCAGTCAATAATAAGAGAAGTTGTTAGTGCCAGCCTCAGGTGGGAGAATTGCTTAAGTCACAATTTCAAGGTTAGCCTGGGCAACATAGAACTCCATCAGAAAAAAAAAGAAAAACATTGCTTGTTAACATAAGACACCTTTTTTTGTGGAAAATAACTATTTTTCCAACCTTTCCCAAAATAGAATAACATTAATTTATATCTTCACAAATTGTGTAATAGGCTTATGAAAAGACAGCTGGACAGGCCTTGTACATGCCTGTATCTCAGCACTCAGAAGAGTAAGGTAGGAGGATCATGAGTCTGACACTAACCTAAAATTCATAGTAAGTTTAAGGCCAAGCCTGGACTACGTATTGTGTGTGTGTGCTTTCCTGGAATACTGAGAATTAAACCCAGACCTCTTGCATGCTAAAGCAACCACTATACCACTGAGGTACATTCCCAGCACATTCTTTTTTCATAGAAAAGAAACAACAGCATTCTCCTATCTGCTTCATACATTTAGTTATTCCTCAAAATTATAACATCACAGACCTCACGTTGTTTTGTAGGAAGCTGTGTTGAGCATGAGAAGAAGAAAATGAAAAAGGTAAATAGGGAAGATGCAACCTAATGTGGTCTTAGAGAATTTGTATAGCATATGCAATGCTTTTAGTTGTGAGGTTCTCAGGGATTGTTCATCTCATCTTAAACCATGAATTTTTTTTGTTTTTCAAGTCCATTTTATTTCAAGGAGAAAAAAAAGAAAAATACAATTTTAAAACATGTCAATCAGGGAACAGCAATGGTATATACGTTACACATTGTCATCCCCAAATCATTCACCCAGAGCACAAGATATCTACATTCAGTTGTCTGAACAATACCAGCATAAATCTTTATCTTCAGTGAACTCAGAGAAACTCAGTAGTATAACTATCTTAACTATTCTTTATGTACATATATATATACACATATACTTATGTTTCTTTCAGCTTCTCACACTAGTGAGACAATACAATGTTTACACATGCATGTCTGATTTATTTCACTTATGAGTGAGATCTCAAGTTGCATCCATTTACCTATATTAGTCTCCAGTTAATCCTTCTTTATTAGCTGAGTAGTACTCCATTGTATAAAAATACCACATCTTTTTTATCTGTCTCTCAGTTGATTGGCATTTAGGTTCTTTCCAAGATCTGGCTATTATAAACTGTGCCGCTATAAACATGGGTGCACATGTATCGCTGTGGTATGATGTTTTTAATTATTTTGGGAAGATACCCAGAAGGGGAACAGCTGGGTCGAATGGGACCCCTAGTCCTAGTTTTTGAGGAATCACTGATTTCCACAAAGGTTGCACCAGTCTACACTTCCAACTACATTGGAAAAGGGTTCCTTTTTCCCACAGCCCCTCCAATATTTATTATTGCTTGATTTCTTAGCCATTCTTTTTGCGGTAAGAGATAATCTCAGTGTTTTAATTTACATCTGTCAGGTGATCAGTGATGTTGAACTTTTTTTTTTTTAGTTTTTTGTATGTTCTCTATTTATAATCCTTGTCTGACCTATAGATGGCAAGCATTTTCTCACACATTGTGGGTTGTCTTTTCACTTTGTTGGTTGTTTTTCTTGTGGTACAAAAGTTTTTCGATGGATGGGATCCCAGCTGTTGATTCTTTGTGATAGTTCCTGTACAATCTGGGTTTTGTTCATAAAATCTTTGCGTACATCAATGTCTTCAAGAACTTTACCTACTCTGTCTTCCAGCAGATTTAATGTTTCTGTTTTAATACTAAGGTCTTTGATACATTCGATAGTGCATAGTGAAACATATGGGCCCACTTTAAATCTTTGGCATGTGTAGAGCCAGTTTTTCTGTTTTTGTAGCACCATTTGTTAAAGAGGCTATCTTTCTTCTAATGAACATGTTTGGCATCTATGTCAAAGATAAGGTGGCTTAGTTGTCTGGCATTGTTTTTGTGTCTTCTAATCTGTTCCACTGATCTTCGGTTTTTTTGTTTTTTATTTTTTTGTTTTTTTACCAGTACCATACTGTTTTTATCATAGTAGCTTTATATTACAATTTCAAGTCAGGGATTGTGATGCCCCCTGTCTTGTCTTTGTTGTCCAGGATTGCCTTTGCTATTCTAGGTCTCTTCTGGTGCCAGATGAATTTTCGGATTTTTTTTCCCCAATTGTGTGAGATATGCTTTTGGAATTTTTATTGGGATTTCATTGAATCTGTATAAGTTTTGAAAATCTGACCATTTTAACTATATTGGTTTTTGTTACTCAAAAGCACAGGGTATCTTTCAGAGGTCTTTTACGTCCTTCATTAGATTGATTCCTAAGTGTTTCATTTTTTTTAGATGATATTGTGAAAGATGTTTCCCTGATTTCTCTCTCAGTGAATTTGTTATTTGTGTACAGGAAGATTATTGATGTTTGAGTGTTCCTTTGTATCCAACCACACTACTGAGTATTCTTATTAAAGCTAGAACTCTTGGTGGAGTTCTTGGGGTCTTCTATGTAGAGTATCATGTCATCTGCTAATAATGATAGTTTAACTTCTTTCTTTCCTATCTTTATTCCTTTTATTTTTTTTTCTCTTATCTAATTGCTCCAGCTAAAGTCCAGGACTATGTCAAATAAGAGTGGAGGCAGTGGACATCCTTGCCATTTCTGATTTTAGAGGAACAGTTTTCAGTTTTTGTCCATTTAATATGATGTTGGCTGTTGGTTTGTTGTAGATGGCTTTTATCAGATTGAGATAAAGACCATCTGTTACAATTTTCTGTAGGGTTTTTATCATGAATGGCTACTAGACTTTTGTCAGAAGCTTTTTCTGCATCTATTGAGATGATCATATGATTTTTGTCCTTGGCTTTTTGTTAATATGATGTATTAAATTTATGGATTTATGTATGTTGATACATATACCCCTGCATCCTTGGGATGAATATCCCTTGATCATGGTATATAATCTTGAGGAATTTCTACATTCTGTTTGTCAGTATCTTACTAAGAATTTTTGCATTTAGGTTCATTAGGGAAATTGGCCTATAAATCTCTTTCTTAGTTGGATCCTTCTCTAGTTTTTTAATATCAGGATAATGCTTCTTTCCAGGAATGAGTTTGGGGGTATTGATTTCCTTTCAATTTCATTAAATTGTTACAGGAGTAGCAGCATTAGATCTTCTCTAAAGTTCTTGTAGAATTTAGCAGTGCATCCATCAGGGCCTGGGCTTCTCTTTGCTGATAGGTTTTCAATTATATCTTTGATTTCATTGGTTGATATTTGTTTATTTAGATTTTTTGTATCTTCTTGATCCAGCTTTGATAATTCATGTATTCAAGAATCTGTCCATATCTTCTGTATTTTCCATGTTATTAGAATACACATTTTCAAAGTAGGTATAGGTGATCTTCTGGATTTCTCTATGGTCTCTTGTGATTTCACCCTTTTTATTCCTAATTACATGGATTTGAGTCTTTTCTTTTTTTCATAAGGTTAGTGTCTTAGTTACTTTTTACTCGTTGCTGAGACAAAATACCTGATGACCAAAGTTGGGAAAGGAAAGGTTTATTTCTTACAGTTTTTGGAGGTTTTAGTTCATACTCAATTGGCTCCAAGGCAGGGTAGCATGGCAGGGCCACAGTTCATGGCAGCTACAAACAGCAAGGCAGAAACCTGCAAGAGAGTGAGACACACTTCTTCCTGCCATTACATCACATCCTGATTCCACCCCTATGTGGATGTTGCACTGGCACCATCAATCCAAGCACTATACAATAAACCAATCACAGATGCATAATGTAAATGCATGAGGCCTGGGGGCCACAGACATAAACCATGACAGTTGGCTAAGGGTTTGTTGATTTTGTTTAATCTTTCAAAGAACAAACTCTTTGAATCATTGATTCTTTGTACTGTTTTTTGTTGTTGGTTTTTTTTTTGGGGGGGGTGGGTACTGCGGATCAAACGCAGGACCTCACACTTGCCAGGCAGGCATTTATGTCACTGAGCTAAATCCCCAGCCTCTTGGTATTGTTTTTTAGTCTCCAATGTTAATTTCTGCTCTCGTCTTTATATTTTCCTCCCTCATATGAGCTTTTGGCTTAGCCTGCTCTTCTTTTTCAAGATGTTTGAAGTTCATCATTAAGTGGTTTATATGCGCTTGCTCTGTTTTCCTGATTTATTTACTGCTATAAGTTTCCCTCTTTAAGATAGCCTTCCTTGTGTCCCATAAGTTCCCGTATGTTATATTACCATTATCATTCAACTGTATCAACTAATTTCTTCTTTAATTTTATCTGTGACATTGGTTATTCAGGAGGGTACTATTTAATTTCCATATGTTTATGAAATTCTTGTTTCTTTTGCACTAATTTCCAGTTTCATTGCGCTGTGATCTAATAGTATGCAGGGGATAATTTCAGTTCCTTTGCATTTACTTAAGTGTGTTCTGTGAACCCCATTATATTTTCTGTTTTGGAGAATGTCCCATGTGCAGCAGAGAAGAATGTATATTCTGATATTGGGTGGAATACAGTAGACATCTACTAAGTCCATTTGTTTAAAAGTTTGATTTAGTTTTAATATTTCGATACTGATTTTTTGTTTTGTTTTGTTTTTTTCGTTTTTATCGTACCAGGGACGCACACTTGCAAGGAAGGCGCTTATGCCGCCAAGCTAAATCCCCAGCCCCGATAATTGATTTTTCTGTTTAGTTGATCTTTTTGTGACAGTGGGGTATTGATATTTCCTGATACAATTGTATTAGGACTTATTTGATTTTTTAAGTCCATTAGTATTTTTCTTATGTAGTTGAATGCATTTGTTGCATATGTATTTATAATTGTTATCTCTTCCTTTTGGATTGTTCGCTTTACAAGGATGTAGCAACCTTTGTCTCTCTTAATCAGTCTTGGCTTGGGGCTGGGGATTTAGCTCAGCAGCATAAGCACCTGCCCTTGCAAGCAGGTGGTCGTGAGTTCGATCCCCGGTAAAAAAAAAAAAAATCAGTCTTGGCTTGAAATCTACTTTTTCTACAGATAAAATAGCTACTCCTGCTGTTTTCTGGGTTCCTGTCGGATGGAGTATTGTTTTCCATACTTTGACTTTCAGTCTGTTAATTTCTTTTTTAATTAAATGTGTTTCTTTTATGTGGCATATTGTTAGATCTTGCCTCTTGATCCAATCTGCTAGGCTGTTTGTCTTTCAACTGGTGAATTGAGACCATTAACATTGATGATTATAACTAATATGTACTGACTTTCCATTGTCATGCTTCTTTCCTGTTGTTGGCTCCTGTTATTTTTCCCTCCCTCTAAGTGTTTGCTTTTTCTGGTGGATTCCTTTTGTTGGGGTTCATGGAGCTGTAGTCCTTACTTTCTCTTTCTAGAATGTTCTTCAGAACATTTTGGAATGCTGATTTGGTGGTCATAAATTTGCCCAGAGGTTCTTTGTCATGGAAGTACCTTATTTCCCCATCAGTTGTTTTTGGGGTTGTTTTTGTTTTTGTTTTTTGGTACTGGGGATTGAAGTCACAACCTCACGCTTGCCAGGCAGGTGCTTATACTGTTGAGCTAAATCTCCAGCGTCCCATCAGTTTTGAAAGATAGTTTTGTGAGGTACATCAATCTGGGTTGAAAGTTGTTTTCCTTGAGAAACTGGAATATTTCACTTGAAGCTCTCCTTGACTTGAGAGTTTATGCTAAGAAGTCAACTGTGATTATGATGGGCTTCCCTTTATAAAGTGATTTGTTTGTTTTCCCTAACAGCTTTTAAGTTTCTATTCTTGTGTTGAATTTCTGGAATCTTGACTATGATATGCCTGGATGTAGATTATTTTTTATTATTTCTAATTGGAGTTCTATATACCTCACTTATTTGTATGTGAAATTCTTTTTCTCTACCAGGAAAGTTTTCTGTCACCCTGTCTGTGAACATGTTTTTAATGTCATTGGTGGTATCTCCTGCTTGTTTGTTGACTCCCGTTAATCTTAAAGTATTCTTTGTTGTCTCATCTAGCAGCTGCTGGATTGATTTCCCATGGTCCCTTGCTATTTTTGAGAAGTGTTTCTTTTCTTGGTTGTTAACTGCAGGCCTGTCTTCATTATTTGAGATCCAGTCCTCACATTGGCCTAATCTGCTTCAAATACTTTCAGTGGAATTTTTATTCTCCTGGATATCTGCTTGAGTCTGCATTAAGGGTTCCCTATGTTGTGCTTCCATAATTTTTTTAGCTTGTCTATTTTTTGCCTATTACCTGCTCTGATGTCTCTAGGGTATGTATTTTGGTAAACTCTGTAGTTATCTGAGCGATTATTTCTATTGAGACCTCATTCAATTGCTTTGTTGTTATTACTTCAGAGGGGCCTGGTAGAGGGCGTTCAGATTGTCCCACCACATTGCTCCCTGGATTTGCCTTAGTTGAATTAGATGTCTGGAGTTGCATTTTGCTTAAGTGTTTTCTCATTTTCTTTTCTGTTTTTTTTAGTTTAATTCTTAGGGTGATACTTGTAAGTTGCCTATGGAAGGTTGCTTTATTGGTAGTTTTAGGACCCTTTGGTGATGACTACGTCTCAGTTATCTTCCTGGTGTAACTGGTTTTTAAATTTTGAGTCTGTTGGAAGAGCTTACCTCTTCAGTTTGTTGGAGATGAGAAGTTGTTGCTTGTTTGACCTAGTCCCTGGTTCTTTGGCACTGTGCCACAGTATTTTCTGTGATCCTTAGTCTCAGTCATGGAATGCCAGGAGCAACAGCTGCTTAGAACAATAATGTCAGTTTTGGCTGCTGTGGTACCAATGGCATCAAACACAGCCTGTAAAACAACAAACTGAGATAACCCTTTATTTGCAGCTTCTAACCATATGAACTAGATATGTGATTCTATAATAAAATGGGAAGCAAATCAGAAAATTGTTTGCAGTATATAAGTCCTTAATGTGTCAATTTTACCCTTGTGGCTAAAATTTAAAATGGATTAAGGAGAAGATAGAGAAAAGGAAGAGAATAGGAGTAAGGCTGGAGGACAGAGGGAAACTGGTACAGAAGACTGAAGGAAAAGAAAGATGGAAGAGATAAAAGGCAGAATAGAATAGAGCCACAACCACAAAGAGGCTAGGAACCACATTCACACACATACAAAAACAATGAAGGAGAAAGAAAGAGAAAAAGAAAGAAAAAGAAAACCAGTGCATTTCTAGAATTCTCTTTGGTTTCACTAATAGGCAACCTGTGGAGACAGAGTCCCAAATCATGCTGATCCGACCCAGCAAGCTAGCATAGCTTTTTGGCAAGGGAGTAGATAATCTCAGCAGGCCTGCCCCAACGACCAGACACTTGGGGCTTGCTGCCACCAAACAATTTCTGAAGGTGTGAGACCAGCTGGAATCTGCTGATGGAGCCAACAGCTATTTTAGGTTCTGAGCTTAGCCTGCCCATCTCCAAGGTGGCTCTTAACCGGCCACTCTCTTCCACAGGAGGACTAAGTCCTCTGCACTCACCACTACCCAGTACACTCCTCCATATCCTCTGTTCCCCTCCGCTGCCAGGTCTCTTTGCAGAGGCCTCGAGGGTTGCTAGCCATTACTGTCACCATGACTGTGCATCTGCAGATTTGAATCACTGCTCTCGTGCAGTGTGTTCCTCTCAGGGAGAAGGCACCGCTGACTACTTCCTTCTTCTTTGTTAAAGTTTTTCTCTCCACACTCTCTGTGGGCTTCAATTCACACTTTTGATTCTTCCTGGGTCCAGTGGATGCTTCCATCCTTCTTAGCTTCCTCATTGTGCTATGTTTTAGCATCTGGACTGTGACTCTCAGAGAGGCTGTTTTCTCTGCTATGTACAGCTCTGCCATCTAAGTCTCCACTTCTGGTTATCAAACTAGGAATATATTTAAAGCAACAAGATTTCAAGACATACGACAACGTGAATGTGAATTTTTAGATTTTGACCCCATCTTTATTATTCTAAAGCTGTATAATTATGGTCAAGTCACTTAAGAGGACTCTGTTGTATGCAAAATGAAACTGATGATAGTATAATTTCTACTTCATAAGATTATATGACGAATCAAAGGAGCTATGCATGGGAATACTTTGTAACTAGGAATTATTATACAAATGTTAATATAGATTGACTTAGTATCTTTTTATTCACTGCTTACATATTTTTTTTAAAATGTTCTTCCTTTCTTCATTAGAATGAAGGCCAAACTGCTAAGGAGTTTATTAAAATCATAGAGAATGCAGAAAATGAATATCAGGTAAGATATGGAATTAATTTTCTAGGTTTTGAATCTCATTATTTTGCTATTAACAGATTTGTTAGGCTTTTCTGTGTCTTAACACTAATACATATATTGTTGAGTGCTGTTAAATATTGAGAATTATAGACGTTGTAATTTGACATTCTGCCTACAGTTAAGGTTTCTGAATTATTTTAGTAAAGCAGTGAATTACCTGACTCTTGCTTCAGAAATTGGAGGGGAACTCACTAGAAATATGTCCTATCTGTTGTTTGTAACACAGGCTTCTTGTGCTATCATAACCAGTTCCATTTCTGTTCAAGCAACTCATCTTCAATTATCTATTGCAGACAGCAATTAGTGAAAACTATCAAACAATGTCAGATACCACGTTCAAAGCCTTGCGCCGACAGCTCCCAGTAACCCGCACCAAAATCGACTGGAACAAGATACTCAGCTACAAGATTGGCAAAGAAATGCAGAATGCTTAAAGGCTGGCTATAGGATTTTTCAATATGTGGAAAGAAAATGATTCAACATGTGGTCATATGATAAATAAGTGATTTATAAACAAAGGTGATATTTTGCTAGGGCTTTCAAACTTAACATTTTCTAGCCTCATGAAATACTGTTCAACCTATAGCATTGTCTTGACCTTGTGTTCTCTGCCTCGTAATTTTATGTTATCACTATATCTACTTGTAAATTTTCTCCCCCCAACTTCCCGCTATGTTTTATGTTGGAGAGAGAGAGAGAGAGAGAGAGATCTATCTTGAAGTTGTTTTACTATTTAGAAAATTTTCCTAGCAGTGAAGTCCTGTTACTGTTTAGTAATATGTTCTGTACTTTTTTACCCCCATGACTCAAAGCACTTCTGGTACTTTAGTGGTTTTTACTGATCCAACAGCTCAAAAGGCTGTGCTACAAACTGTAGCTAAATGGAAGATACATCATTCTTCTTCCTTGGACTGTTCTGATCATCATTTACAGCATCTCATAACTGTTATTTTTCAAAACTTTGCATTAGGGCCTTTCAGATTCATTTAGAAGAGGGCAAAAGAAGTGTTCTGAAAATTCCATGATAACCAGCTTTTCTGAGGAGAGTTTGCTTGTAAATCCAAAGACTTGAACCACATTCCCTTCAATAAACATGTTTGTTTTTTGGGGGAAAGGAGATTCTCTCATTGTCTCCTTCCCTATTGTAGGTATTGATACCTGTGTTTTTAGAGGAATTTTACCCATTTACATTTTTGTTCTTGTGTATGTGTGTGTTTTTAAGAACTGCTGACATACTGTGGATGTAGTAAAACTTGAAAAATGCAGTGTTGAAGGAATCATGAATATCTTGTCCTTAAATAATTTGTGGCAGGATTGTACCGTAAGCAAGTGAATCAAACTGCTCTATAAATCACAAAAACTAAAACCAAAGTGAAAAGAGTAACTTCCAGGCAGTATCTCTGTTGTAACCTGTTACTTAAGGGAATACTAGTGTTTTACAATATTTGTTCCTCATTACTCTTCCGTAGTCCTGCCTGCCAAGAACTTAAAAGCAACTGTGATATAGCAACCCTTCCCAGATATATTGGCAGGTGAATGTGTGATCTCAGAATACACAGGTGACAGAGATATGATAGGATAACTGATAATGGTGGATTCATTTACATTGTTTACACTTCTGTGACCACGCCTTAAAGGGAGGTCAGTTAAAAAAAAAAAAAAAAACCAAAAAACAAGTAGTGTCTCTTCCTATCTCCAGATACATGTTATAAAAGAAGGGTGTTTATGCTTCAGCTTTGTTTTTGCTCAATAATACAGGTCATGCAAGAGTTTGTTTCTAAGTGAAAGCTGTGTTAGCCTTTTTTGTTTATTTCAAATAAAATGTATTTGTATTACTTGTCATTCATACTATCTATCCATCATACCACACTATCTTCTGTATCAGATAGTCCAATAGAAATATACCTGTTTTGTTCTAAAATTGTCTGAATTGTTCCTTTTTTGTCCATCTCATCCACCTTTGTTATCAAGATATTTGGCTGTGTTTGATTTTGTTTGTTGAGAATGCTCAGACTTTCTAAAACTGGTTCCCACTTTCAACTATTATAGACTCAGTAAATATATAAAGACACGGAAAAAACAGCCTTTTTTAGTGTGAGCAAAGTCTCTGGCTCATACTACACAAAAGCTACCAGTAACACAAAGGTTTCATTTTGAGATTTCCATTAATGTTAAAAATAAGATTCTCATTCTCTACCCATTATTCAGAAAACAAGGCCTGAGTACAATTAGTCATTAGGAAGGAAATAAAAATTAAAGAAGCCCTGCACCTTGAACTTGGGTAATATTTTACTTTGGTTTGACTCTATAAACATACTGCTTTCCTCTGCTTCAAGTCTGGTTTAGCTACTGATGAGGTGTGGGAAAGGCTTTTATCCTGGTTCTCAGTAGAGAACCAAAGGGAGTTTCTGTGCTTCACCCTTCATTCAAGGTCAGAAGATTCCCACAGTTTTGACATTTAACTGTACTGCATTCTTTGCTTATAACACATACAGATTCAAACATTCTTGTCAACTTGTTAATTCTGTCAGCCTGAGTCTAAGCTAGACCATTGATCTCTGTATTCCAAAAAGACTTCAATCTCAGGACTGTCTAAAGCTCATAGTTACTTGTAGAAATGGGAGGAAATCAATGCTCTTTGCCAAGACCTGCACAGACCCTCTGACTTCATAACTTCCCCCAGTGCAATAGTTGCTTGCATTATGTCTATTGTATCACACACTGCTGAAATCAATCTGTGGTTACCTAGGGCAAAGACTTCCCAAGCCATATAGAAAGGAATTTTCTGTGAAGCCCCACTCCAGTATTTGAGTTGGAAATGACACTGGAGAAGACTATCTCCATCTGAGCCACTGTGGTTTTCCTCCTGTCAGTTGCCTACTTACAGTGCCTGTTCTCTAGAACTTTGATGCTGGACTTAGATTCACAAGATACTTGGCAACATTTCTCCAAAATAAAAAAAGATGAATTTATATATATCTGGATACCAGTTTATTAATTTGTAGTTCTCTATAGAGCCACCTAGTGAACTAGATACTCATGACCACTGTCAGTGTGAAAAACTGGGCCGGGAATTTAGTTCAGCGGTGTAAGTGCCTGCTTGGCAAATGGAAGGTCATCAGTTCAATCCCCAGTACCAAAAAAAAAAAAAGTAAAATAAAGTGGAAATTTTTAAAAAGGAAAATTGGTAAATATAGAAAAAAATTGGACAGTCCTATTGTATAAATTGAGCTAACTTAAGAATTCTTTAATATAAACATACAGAATAAGAGTTAAAAGCCCCCTGAGTGAACAGCAATCCCGCATTTTCAAATTGAAGGTATCAAAAAATACTCTGTTATGTGGAAAGATACACAGTTAATTCTTGTAATTAAATTTATTGGTACATTTTAGGTATAAGCACATTCATCATAGGAAATTTATATGTGATACATCTTGATTCTTTTCCTATTCTACCCTCCCTCCAACCCTTCTTCCCTCATTTACAAAAGCATTGTTTCTAATTTTTCTTCTTTCTGGTTTTTTTCTTTTCCTTTGCTTTTCCCCTTCCCTCTGCCTAATTCCCCATCCCTTTTGAACATTTTCCTTCTATTTTACAGTTATCTATTACATATTTTGGTCCCTACACTTTTGGTTTCTCACACCAGACACACAACATGGTATTTACACATGTGTCGGGTTTATTTCACATAAGAGTATGGTCCCAAAGTGCGTCTTTTTTTTTTTTTTTTTTTGTCTTTTTCCTTTTTATCGGTACCAGGGATTGAACTCATGACTACCTGCTTGCAAGGCAGGCTCTTATGCCGCTGAGCTAAACCTCCAGCCCCCCAAAGTGCATCATTTACCTAGAAATGTCTTAAGTGTATCCTTTATGGCTGAGTAGTCCTCCATGGTATAGAAAAAACCTTTTTGCATTCATTGGTTGATGGGCATTTGGACTGTTTCAAGATTTAGATATTACAAACTGTGCTTCTATAAGCATATGTCACTGTGATATGATGCTTTAATTCTCTCAGGAAGATACCAAAAGGAAAAAACTGGGTTAGGACTTTTAGGAGTTTCGTTTTTTGTTTTGTTTTGTTTTTTGATACTGGCAGTTGAACTCAGACTCATGCTTGCCAGGCAGGCACTGCACCGCTAAGCTATATTCCCAGCTTTAGTTTTAGTGTTTTTAGGAATCTCCAAACTGATTTCCACAGTAGTTACACCAGTCTACACACCCACCAACAGTGGAAAAGGGTTCCTTTTTCCTTACAGCTCCACCAGCATTTGTTATTGACTAACTTCTTCAGTGATGTCAAACATTTTTTATGTATTTTTTTTTCTTTTCTTTTTTTCTTTTTTTTTTTTTTTTTTTTCTGGTACCAGGGATCGAACTCACGACTGCCTACTTGCAAGGCAGGTGCTTACACCGCTGAGCTAAATCCCCAGCTCCATTTTTCATGTATTACCATTTCTACTTCTTCAACTGAAACTATTTCTACTTCAACTGAAAACTGTCTTTTTTTTTTCCCCCTATCTTTTTGAAACGGCCTCACGGTGCAGTTCAGGCTGGCCTTGAGCTCACCTTTTTTTTTTGGGGGGGAGGGGGAGTACCAGGGGTTGAACTTGCAACCTCATGCATGCAGGCGCTTATGCCGCTGAGCTAAATCCCCAGCCCCTTGAACTCACTTTGTAGCCCAGGCTGGTCTTGAACTTGCAACAATCCTATCTCTGCCTCCCAAGTGCTGGGATTACAAGGGTGCCCCACCATGCCCACCTAACAAAGTGTCATTTCAGATGCCCATTTTTGAATTGGGTTTAATTGGGAAGGGTCGGTCTGATTTTTTTTTTCTTTATATGTTCTAGATAATAGTCCTTTGAGAAGCAGCTGGTGAAAATTTTTTCCCACACTGGATTGTCTCTTCACTCTGTTGATGGTTTCTATTAGTTTGTAAAAGCTTTTGAATAAGATGAGGTCCCCGTTATTCTTTGTGATAATTCCCATGCAATTGGAATTTTGCAGAAAGTCTTTGCCCATACTAATGTCTTCAAAAGTTCTACCTGTTCTATCTTCCAGCAGACTTAGTCTTTTTATTTTAATTTTTAGATCTTTGATCCATTTAGATTTTAGTTTAATACATGGTAAACGATAATGAGTGTAGTTTTAAATCTTTGGCAGAGGGAAAGATAGTTTTTTCAGCACTTTATTAAAGGCTATCTCTTCCAGTGAAGGTGTTTGGCTCCTTTGTCAAAGATAAGATGCCCCAAAATGTCAATATACGGTTAATTCGTTATTCAGAATAGTTATATCCTACAAAGTCACTGAGAACACTAGTGAATACTGTAACACATACCTGAATGAAACTGATCTAATAGGAATTTTCTCTGTAAAGTCTCAAATACTTTGGTACCACCCTTGGGGACCATCTCAATCAGGGAGATGGCCAGCACAAAGCACACAAGGGCAAAAAACATGGCTTTAAGCAGTCCATGGAAAAGTTTATTATTACAAACTTTTGGTCCTGTTGAACCAAAACAAGGCAGAGCGGCAGTGTTCTGCCTCAGCTGGCAAACTTGTTTTCTACCACTTTGTGCATGACTGAATAACAAGAGCAGTGTAAGTATGGACTTGAGAAGTTGGAAATAAATGTGAGTGAGCAGGTGAATTTACAAATATGAACCTCAAATAATGAGGACAAACTACCTGCCACAACGTCTCATTTGGTCTGTACTAGACAGACCAATTGCAATGTTTAAGAACTAAAAAAAAAGAACTTCTGTAGTAATTGCCTTAGAAAAGTTTGAATATATAAGGTTAGAGCACACTGAAATCTGAACTGAAGAGTAATGAAAATAGAATACAAAGCTTCTAATGTGCAAAGTAGTTGTTTTGAGAAGCTACAGATTTACTCCAGAGATGCTGCTGGCCAGAGTTAACTTCCAAACTACCTGTTTGAACTCACTAAAATCAACCTTACTAACTTGAAGTGATAGTCTTTTAATTGCAGATTTAAGGAAGACCATGGAAGCTGAATTTGAAAGGTTGGAAGAAAAAAAAAAAAAAGGAAGACCCCTCTAGATATCTAGAACTGCATGTGTGAAAATAACCACAATTTCATGTGAAGTTGACTTTTCTAGATGAAACTGGTTTAGAGAAGTTCCATTGTAACGAAAGCCACAGGGCATCATATTTCTACCCGTTTGTACTATAATACAACTGTCTGTGTGTTTTGAGAACATCCAGGAGATAGGTTTGACCAGAGAAAGGGGGAAAGTTATGTATCCAGAAATAATAAAAACTTACATTTGGTGATTAGAATCATGCCAGACACATGGTTTGGGTCTTACAAGTGTTTGAAATGCAAAGCAACAGCAACTTTGAGGAGTTTGCACATACTCCCCACCATATATATTTTTTCTTTTCTCTTTTAGTGGTAACAGGGGCTTGAAAGCAGGACTTTTGCCCTGAGCTACATCGTAGACCTTTTTATTTTTTTAGACAGGGTCTCACTAAGTCACTAAACTGACCAGGCTGCACTCCAACTTAAAATCCTCCTGCCTCATCACCACCATGCCTGGCTTGGAGTTTGCCCTCTTGAGCTCCAGCAGCATCACTGGAGTAATTGGATGAGAGAAAGTAAAATTTGTGGCTACTTTCCTCACTTTTTCTATTAATATGCATAATTAATTTCTACCACAAACTAGTTCCCTGTGCTCTATTTTCCTCGTAGCTTTTTCACTGATGCAGCATTTCCTGTTGCTAATGTTTGTATTCTTGGCTTTTCTTCCCTTTTGGCCTTGGGAAAAGATACTGGGTTGGCCCAGCAGGAGATTGACCTGAGTCCTGGTCAGGTCACAGTAGGTTAAATTGAGTGTGTGGCCTCCTGTCGGGAACTTCTTTGGAGAACAACATTAGCTTTGATGTAGTTGCAACTCTAG